TGTGTGTGTGTGTGTGTGTGTGTGTGTGTGTGTGTGTGTGTGTGTGTGTGCGGCTGGCTGGATGTGTGTGCCTTGCACATATTACAGAGGCATGCGAATCTGGTCTGCCAATGCCGGTACTGGCTGTGGATTGAAGTCTGACCAGGTGAGAATGAAAGATTGGCTCTAGACTTGAGCTTCTGCCGATATTAAGGAGATTGTCCGCTGACTTTTGTCCATTTTCATCTTTCATAGACTAGTTGTGTGTGTGGCACTCTGAATGTGTTCTGAGGAGTTTGTTCTCCACTTACCCACCCGAATAAATGCCCGGTCGTTATAGCCGTATTTGGCACAGCTTTCAGTCCAGATGCCATGTTAATAATGGGGTGTTCTATTCGGGTCACAATGGTACCTCTGCATGCTACACCATGGCATTGCCCATTGTGCAGCACAACTGAAGGAAAGTTAGGAACCAAACAAATTTACAAGTCTGAACTTTTTGTATATTCATTGAATCAGATTTCAATTTTCAGTCCATATAATTCTGAATCTCTGATCTGTCTGAAGTCAACAGGCGCAGTTGATGTGTCCTTGTCTCTCTGAGACTTGGAACATGAACTTGATTTCAATCTTTCAGACACCAAATACATTTTTTTTGGAAAGAATTTGGCAATTTGCAAAAGTTTGAATTTGTTGTCGACCCTTTGGCATAACTTATGATCAATCATCAATGACATGGGACCTGTGTCCACCTTGTTATTTTTCATTCAGTTTGTTGAACTTGGTTCTAAAAATCAATTCTGTCAGCTCGGGAAATTGTAAGCGTATGTATTTTGTGTAGTAGAACGTGGGAAGATGCATTTGGCATTTTGGATTCGGCGAGTGGTGTGCATGCATTGGCTGGTTTGTTAGTTGGGGCTGGTCTTCACGAATGCCGATCTTTAAGCAGCAGCCTTCAATGTCACAATCATTTATGACAGTTTTGAGTGAAAATTTCACCGAAAATAGCATCCCCTGTCGACCACGTGTGGGGGAGGGAAAATGGAAGGAGGGGGGAGGGAGAGGGGGAAGGTGTAGGGGAGAGAGAGAGAGGGKGGGGGGAAGGGGAGCTTGGAGATGGGAGGGGCTGAATGAATCACCAGGCAGGAGGATCTGCTGAATGAATCACCAGGCAGGAGGATCTATGTATGTATTACCCCAGGCCTATAGGCTTTGCTTTCTTGAGGGAAACAAAACGGTTACTTTGGACGTTGAGGGCAGAGTAATAAACTTGTTTGAAAGAATTCAGTAGTACATGCAGTGTGCCTGATATCTTTTTCGTTTTCTTCTGTAAAGGGCTTCAAAGGCAGCAGCTCCTAAGGGGCTGTTTTCTCAAGCACGGGTACTAATCGGTGTGAAGAGAGAGGCCCTACCATATTCAGTATTATTCACCCGAACAAAACGTCCGGTCATTATAGCTGCTCCTGGACTGAGAGTTGTCCTAAATACAGCTATTATAATGACCGGGCGTTCAATCAAGCGGATGGTTTAACTTATAACAAAAAAGACAAATTTAAGTCGTTAAGTCTGATGTGGTTGATGTGCGTGGAGACGAGGATGGTTGGGACTCGGGAGCAGACCATTTGCGCCAACGAGGTGTTGATTTATTGCGCCCTCGTGATCGTGTCGCCCATGTGGGCTGTAGTATGAACCATACTACTACTCAGTACAACCTTCCTTCAGGGGTCAGGTATACACTGCCGCCAGGGCTTCGTTTGTGCTGAAATCATGAATCTGACGGTAGCCAAAGTCCAAGTTCATGCTGGGTCGGTGCAAAGATAGCACAACACCTGACAGTGTAGGATGCGACATACTCAGAGAGATCTTGCTGCATGTGTTGAAAGTGAAAGTGTTCTGAATCATGACTTGTGAAAATGCGAACGAAAGGCGCACGTGATTTAACGCCCAAACGTCACCCATGTCTCATTGGGCTGAATTTCCTCCTTGCCATCAGGGAACCTCTATGTCTTCTCCTGTGGTGGCCGCGACTGGGGCACTTGTTCGGCAGTACTTCACAGATGGGTTTTATCCATCAGGTGAGTTTACGTATGTCAGTTTTACACAAACATGATCATAATCATCATATGATTGTTGTATTTTTAATTTTTCAATCTGCCGTGGTTACACATTGCTCCAAAGAATCTTGCTTTTTTTTTTTCTTCTCATGGTTGCTTTCCCGACATGCATCTCAGAGTCAGTGTGCGCTGCTGGGTAGGTAAAAAAGCAGAGGTCACATTAAATTTTCCCTTCCAACCTCTCAGCCAGTATGACTGTATTTGGATCAGTCATCATATCTCACTCTGACATGTGTTCCCTGTTAACGACCGTGGCTCGAATTTGTGTGGAATGTAGTGGATGGCACTGGATGCATATCGCAGCTGGCATTTGATTGAGTGGAGCTTTTGAGACGTTTGGTTGAGCGGAGCTTTTGAGATGTTGGGGAGAGAGAGAGAGAGAGAGAGGCCGCCATGATTTTACATCTCACGGCCTGCAATGCCCATGGGTCATTCCTACCAGACCCGAAAAGTTTGGGTGCACAGATTGGGTCCCGGCCCCTTGGCCTCTTAACTACCAGATTATGAACGGCGCTGTATTTGCACAAGATTAATCTTCCAGTAGGCAAACGGAAAAAGCTCAGGAGCGAAAAACCTCAAGTGGTTTCTGTGTGGTTCGTATCCACTGTCCAGTACTATCCGCCAATTATCGCAGACTGATCATGATGTGTTCGCTCTAACCTCTGAATGCCTTGTGTTTGTCTTTTTTCTCTCTCTTGATTTTATGAAATGACCAAATTGCAGGTCAGCGCAATGCGTCCGAGGGTTTTGTCCCATCTTCTGCATTAATCAAGGCTTGTCTCATCCACAGGCAAGTCAATTTGTTCAATGTTCAAAACCTTTTATGCATCTTTTTTTTTGTTGTCTCCTTTACTTAAATGCATGTTGTTCTCCTTTTTTGTTTGCTTTCTGATTCACCACGAGGATTCCGGATATGCACTCAGAAAATGCCTCAGGGAAGACTCACAGTAGGACGTTTTTGACTGAGCTCTGGACGCCATTGTGATCAGATGCATCCAGGTCTGGCCCTGATTGCAGTCAGATACATTAATTTTACCAAAGTGCTGGAGAGATTTCGCCCTCAGACAGGATTGTACACACTGGATATTAGCCGTATGTACCAGAAGGGTGACTTCACATTTCACGTTTCTAGCAGACACAGCATTGTGACAACGAGTTGACCCTAATTCGACCCTTGCGCTTTCCTTCTTCTTCTTCTTCTTCTTCTTCTTTTTATTTTATTTTTAATTTTAATTGTGGTCCAATGGACCAGGGATCAGATTTTAAAAACTGATCAGAAGATTCTGAACATATACTACACTTGATGTTAGCCAAAAGGCCGAGAAAGGTATTCTCTAATTTCTCTTTCCTTTTTTTAACTAAACTAAGTAAACTTACTGAAGTGTAAACCAACCACCCGGTTGGCTGAAACACCACCTTTTTTTTTCTTCTTCTTTTTTTTCCGTCGGTGACCGTCCCAAAGTGTCAAGGATTTCGTACTTAGTCACTATACTGATTCCTTCGATACGAGCAACTCCTCGAGAATTGTGTGTGTCTGGGAGCCGTGGAATTGTGCGAGTTTAATTGAATTCAATGTTTGAAGTTTGAAGTGTTTTTTTTTTTTTTTTTTTTTTACGAGCAGTATTTTAACATCCGAAAAAGCAGATTGAGCCTGAGCCCCTCCTAAACATTTGGAGGCCATGGACCGTCGATCTCCTGTTTCGGAGGTACTGGTGGCTTAATGTTTAAACTTTCAAGTTTCAACATAATGATTGTGAAGTTGTACCAAAAAAACAATAAGAAAATAAAAAAAGCTAGGTTACCAATGGTCCGGAGACCGGACGTCTCCACCGGACGTCTCCCCCCCCGTTCCGGACGACGCCTTTTTGGCACAAAAAAAAAAAAAAAAAAAAAAAAATGACAATGTTGCGCATGGCCTAGAGACCCCCCATGAAAAAATTCAGATTTTTCTGAGCATTTGCTGATAGGGTGGTATTTGGGGGGGGGGGGGGGGGTAGAAGGGGTTTTGGTGGGGATAGGAGGGGTATAGATGGGGAATGAATCTTTAAAGATTTTTATTATTTATTCTACTAGCCCAAATGATCCAAAATTTTGGTGGCATAAACCTAATGCAAGGTGGAAGCCACATGATTTTTTTCTTTAAGAATTTTTTTTTTTTTTTTTTTTTTTTTTTGCGCTAGGTCGGACATGCCCTGTCCGGTCGGACATCCCGGACGGTCAGGGGGGTCCCGGACGTCCGGACCGGTAACCTAGAAAAAAAGTTGATTCAGAAAGGTTTGCTACTTTTTATTATACTCCAGTGATTTAAATTCATTTAATCTATTTTTTGAATTTTTTTGGGTATTCAGTACTATTCACGCATTTGAACCCCAGTTGTTTATTGCATTGCGCTAACTTTTGGGATGGAAACAAAGGAGAGTTCAATTGATTGGTTCGTCCGTGATGCAGTGCACGTGGACTTCTTGGTTACGTGGATGGGACCGCCGGCAATGTATATTTGCAGTTCAAGAATGACACAGCATTCCCAAACTCATTTATCGGTGAGCCAGTTCTCTTCCCTCCTGGAGCGAAGTGGCTGGGGAAGCTTGCAAACAGGAAACAATTTCAAAAAAAGCAAAAAAAAAAAAAAAAACCGAAAAAAAAGCAATTTAAAAAATAGCAGAAAACATGCAAAGAAAAAGCAAAAAAAAAAGTTGGGAAAATTGAAATGAGAAATTGAGTAAAGTAAAAGCGGTTCTGTTTGAAATCTCTGCTTCCCTGTTTGCTTGCAGATTAACTGCAATCTATTCCCCTCCCCCCACCCCCGCACCCCCTTTTGTTTTCCTTTTCTTTTTCTTTTTTCTATATTCTTTTTTTTTTTTTTTTTTTTTTTAACACCTGCAATCTATCCAGATTACTCCCTAGTATGTGAACTTTCTGCTATCAGCTTTTTTTATCCCGTTTGTAATTTCCATGGGTGGATCGGGTCGGGGGTATCAAGTCAAAAGACTCAAAAGCCGTATGAACATTGAATGGAGAACTTCTATGAAAGAATTGAAGTATCTCACGCCGAGTCACGCGTCCTCGTTTGCTCACTGTCTTTTTACGGGCACAGCAGGACTCGTCAGATGGACACAGCAGGACTGTGCACCCTTTTTAAGTTTTTACCCCTTTGTTCTTAGTAGTTTTTACGAACTGATCTTTGATACACAAAAGCAGCAAAGTCCTGCTGTGTCCATATTGAGATTTTTTTGAGCCCTTTTTTTTTCCTGATGGCAAGTGTCATTAAGAGGTTTTTCCGTTGCTACAAAGTTTGTGAGCGGTTGGAAAAAAAGCAAAGTGCATATTTACAGTAGCACATTTTGAACTGCACATGCCAGTCATTACTGTCAGATACATCCAGCCTGATCCAGCAAAGTCCATTTGCGATTATGCCCTCTGAGTCTCTTCTGACTCTTTGCGGTTTCCGGTGGTAATGAGCAGATAGAAGTTTTTCGGTTGCAATGAAGTACGGAAGCGGGAGCACAAAAAACAAAGTTCATACTCATGATTGTGTGGGATATGAAGCCATGCGCACTTTTTTAACTTGCCATGTTGCACTTTTTGGACCGCACAGCGCTGTCGTTGTGGTCAGATACATCCAGGAAATTCCATGTGCCCTCTGACTCCTTCCCGGTTCTTGGCTGTGGGTTTTTGTTTCAGGATGGGGATTGATCAGAATCGACAGGCTTTTGAAGTTTGTGAATGGAACTGAATACTCTCCTCCTAGTCTGTTTGTGAAATCTGGATCGATTGACGGTGCCGTAATTCAAATGGGGGAAACGCATGTGTACACTATCCAAGTGCTCAGCAACTCTACCTCTCTTAGAGCGACAATGGTAAGACTTGGTGCTCAAGTGAACTCCAAACAAATGGAAGTTTTTCTTTTTTCTTTTTTTTTTTTGCATACCTCCTGATGAGTCGGTGAAACTCCGACGAAACAGTTTGTCACAGCCCCTCGTTTGTTGTCCTCTTCTCCCTCTCTGCCTACGGTTTACCGGGCAGTTCTATTTGACGATATATATAGTCAAACAGAGCTGCCTGGTAAACCGTAGGCAGAGAGGGAGAAGAGGACAACAAACGAGGGGCTGTGATATATATATATATATACAAGGTTGCCAGGCCGAACGTACGGAGGCCCCTAAGCGGACCCCGGAACGTTCGGCCATTCGGGTCCCCGTAGGGGGCCCGAACCTGAAGGGGTTCGGACCCCGCAAAACAATATTTTGGCACCTGAATATTATTTTCGTTTTCTGAAAATTTCACTGTGAGTTCCTTGTGATGTAAGGTATCTCCCTCCTAACTTTGACGCCATTCTGTTTAGCCAAAAAAAAAAGAAAAATCAGCAAAGATGGTGGTGTCAAAACTTCCGTGCCCACTCACTAATTTGTTTTTTCTTTTTTTTTCACTTTTTGTTTTTCCTTTATTTCGGGGCATGAAACAAAATATTATTTTTTTTTAACTTTATTTGTATATTGTTACTATATTCTCTATTTGCAAATTTTCATGGAATTTGTCACAGCCAAAAAAAAAAGAAAAATCATCAAAGATGGCGGTGTCAAAAACTGCTCGCCCACTCAATGATTTCATTCTCGTTTTATTTTTTCTAATTTTCATTATTCTTATTTATTTTTAGTATTTGATTTTTATTTCAAATATGGTAAATAATTTGGATGTAACGTTGAGGAAAATGTTGTTTAGTTTATTCTTCTGTATAACATACATATTTTTCAGATTTCTTGGAGTTCTTTTTTTTTTTTTTTTTTTTTTTTTTTTTGAGGTCCGCGTTCGGCCGAACGGGCGAACGTGTCGGGCGTTCGACCTGTCCCGAACGCCGGCAACCCCGTATAGACTAAAAAGTTCAAATTGACAGCAAGTAACATTAACTCAATTGACATTAGATAATAAGGATATTCTTTCTATTTAAAAAGATTCCCCAAATACCTAAAAGAAAAAGAATCATTGAAAATGTTTTATTTATTTATTTATTTATTTATTTATTTATTTATTTATTTATTTATTTATTTATTTATTTATTTATTTATTTAGTGCAATACAATGAGTAAGGTGTACAATTATAAATAGGCTTTAATAGGGGTAATTTCGGTTGTGGGCCTTGTGGCACAGACGAGTTTGAAAAGGCCAGCAAATTCATGCGTGGAGTTCGAAAGGGCAACAAAAGCATTTTTACCCACGCGCCGAGTTTCTAAATGGCAGCAAACTCGTGCGCCGAGTTTGAAAAGGGCAACAAAATCACATGCAGGCCGCACAACCATTTTTGCCGATATTGCCCTTTTCAAACTCTGCACCCGATTTTGTTGCCCGCACATGTTTATTTTTTTTTTGCCCTTTCGAAACTGAAAAGACTTGCTAGTGTGACACTGCCAGCCTTGTTTATAATCAGTTTATCTGCTGCCAAATAAATGTTAAATGAATGAGAGTTGTTACGGTACCTTGTTCTTTGAACGTCTATCGGATTCCTAGTATTCATCGGAATTTCATCCTGTTGCTCCAAGTCGTTTTTTCAATGACTGGTCATTCTAGCTGTATCTGGCTTGGAACTTGTCAGTAATTCACCAGACTGAGTACGTTTCACAGACACAGCCAAACTTCTTCAACGCTGCCATGCTTGCCACTGCTTGGTATTGATGTTCTATTTTGAGCTCGACTTATCCCTATTTTTATTGATTATTGCTCATCTGGTTTTGTTACGTCATCTTGTGGCGTCTCGTTTGCATGCGTGATAGTCTGTGCCGGATGGGTTGGTTGCTTTCGAGTCTATCCTCGCGCTATGGCTGATCCGTGCCCGTTCAGTCCATCATGTCGTTTCGAGGCTTCAAAGTCCAGCCTGAGATGGCTAATGTTTCCAGCCAAAGAAAAAGAAAAGAAACAAGTGCGGCCTCGTTTCGAGTCTCAAATATTAATGGGACATTGGGAAAAATAAAAAGTAGAAAAAAACAGGTACTGGCAGTTTTGGCACGGTGCGGATTTGGAATGCCACTGGGCAAAAAATGCAGAAAAAGCAGTGTTCTTTTTTCGCCGTAACGGTTAGGCCCTCTGCACACCACGGCCCGACCCGGGCTAGGTCCCACTTGCACGAATTAAGATATACTGACCGTATATAGCGAAGATCAACGGCCGAAATCTCCTTATTTGCGCAAGTGGGACCTTGCCGCCGGTAGTTACAACAACATCCGTGGTTGCTACAAAAGGTGCCGCACCTCTTGTACTGTCTTTTCAAAAGCACGCCACGGACTTGCCTGTAATGTACGTTTTTTTTTTTTTTTGCCCATGCAAAACTCCCCCGCAATGTATGTTTTTTATTTTGCCCATGCAAAAATCCACCGTTGATGTATGTTTTTTATTTTGCCCATGCAAAATTCCACCGTTGATGTATGTTTTCTATTTTGCCCCTGCAAAACTCCACCAATGACTGAGACGTCCCTGCCCCGCAAGAAAAACGCTGATTGGGACTTTAGCAAAAGGAGAGGCCCAGGGGCAGTCCCCCACTCAAGGGGGTTTAGTTCTGGTTTAAATTTGAGTACATAGGGCCCTAATAATTCGGGTCCCTGCCATCCGATCTGAAAATCTCACTGCCGCATCTTGACGGCATTGAAAAATACTCGAAACAAGAACTAAACCTCCGCAAGTGGGGTACAATCCTCTGACAGTACTGCTCCAAGACTTTTAAATGCAGCAATAATCAACATATCTCGTGTGTTCCCGGGGGGGTGGGTGGGATGGGGTTAATAGGGTTTCTATTTTTCAGAAGTGACCAAATAGACTATTAGTAGTATTAGACTGCACCCCAGCTGTGTGAGTATATGCCCATCAAAAGGCGAAAAAGTTTCAAGCTTGGCGCGCAGGGGCGAATTGAATCCGCCTTGGCAAAAAGAGGCTGGGATGTACTGCCAGTACTGGTGCTTTAAGGTAGTAGATAGATATGACTGAAGCAATGATTCAATTGTAATGTTAACATATTGGGTCTCGCTCCACTACTCTGGACATGCGCAAAAGGCAAAAACCATGGCCGCGGCGTGTCTTTCCATGTTCTAGAGAAAGATTCTCTATCATTTTGCACATTTTGAGAGTTACTGTAGTGAACCGAGGTCCGTTGGATTGAAATTGTTAACATTGGCATCAATACTCTGTGGACCTCACCGCCACTGTGACATTCGATTCACTTGTGTGTGTGTGAACAGGTTTGGATGGACCCTCCTGCAGCAGTTGGTGCCGTTAATCCGATGCTACATGATCTTGACCTCTCCATAGTGGATGTGAGAGGGCAGACGACTTATCCCAATGGACTCATGCAGCCCGATAGACTCAACAACGTCGAGCGTGTGGTTATAGGTAATTATTACGTATTCCTGATTTTCTATAATTAATAATGAATCATTCATTAGCTCGGTTACAAACCAGGCCGCCCGGGTCACCCGAGGCGAGGTGGCCGTTTTCTCTCGCTGCGATGTGACTATTTGATTAAATCATTAAACTACTTAATAAATACTGTGTTCAGAAATTCTGGAAATCTCCGTAAAAAGAAATTATAAATGAAACAGTAAAGGCGATTACGCCGATTTGTTTGAATCTTTTAAATTCTTTTTACTCAATGGATCTTCATGAACGATGGACGATACTAAAATTGCTGGTTTTTTTTTTGTTTTGTTTTTTTTTCGGGGGAGGAGGAGGTTGAGCTCCTTCAAGTTGATGGTCTGTTTTGAAGCAGTAGTGGGGAGCAAGGTCCTAGCGCTATGATGCCAAAACTCATGTCATCTGCTTCTTCTTATGGTTCCATTTATGGTGGGGGTGGAGGGGGATAAATCATGGCTTTTTAAAAGCTAAGGATGGTTTCTGTTGTAGCCTCTAGGCATGATGTTCCCTGTCAGGCAGGTTCTGACGATGGCAATTGTGAAATTAATCAACCTTTAATAATTTAATTCTGGAAATTTGGATCATCGGACACAGTTAGTGGCAACCTCGTCCTTTTTTTTTCATTGAGCTATTTTCTATTGTTGAAATAAATTTTCTCCTTTTCGTTGGCTGGCTCGTTGATGTGATTGATGAACTTAGGACATTGAACTATATCAGCACATTCCATGGTTTATTGACCAAGTAATGAACTGATAAATTTTTGTTTACTGCATCCAACTCTGCCGACACTGCACTAGAGAAGGACATGATTATCACCAATGCAATTTGATGAGATACTGACGAACACCATCATGATGCGGTTAATGAACCCCTTTGCTTTGAGCATGTATAACTAACTGCTTTGGACAGTCTTATCGTATTAATGGAGAGAACCTTCTCTTCTCTTTTCTATCCCTCTTCTTTCTTTTCCACTTCTGGATTGGCTCTTTGCTTTACAATAATAAAATATAATTCTTCCTGTTTTTAAATTTATTAATTGATGGATTGAGTGGGTGATTGATTGATTTCCAATATTAATTGATTTATTACCAATATTGATTGATTGATTGAGGCAGGGAGGGAGGAAGGGAGGGAGGGAGGGAGGGAGGGAGTGGCAAATGGAGGGAGGGAGAGAGCAAGTGGGTGAGGACACAATAAACTATGTTGCTGTCTTTGCGCGAACACCAAGTTGCACACCTCTGTTGTTGTCATCTGGATTGATGGATGGATTGATGAATAGATGGACAGGATGGATTGAATGGATTGGATGGAATGGACGGATTGGATGGAATGCGTGGATGAACCGAGCAACTATGTTGCAGTATATCAGACTTCTGGATGTACCTAATATGATGCTGCTGGTTGTGATGTCTATTGTAATAAGTGCAATGATATTGTTGGTGGTGTTGTTGTATGTGGGTTATGTTTCATATTCGTTTCTTGTCGTGTCTTGTCTTTGGCAGGCTATCCATCTCCCGGCATTTACGAGGTACACGTCGCAGCGGTTACATTGACGCGGACATACAAGAACCAGTCCTATGCTTTGGTTATAACCGGGGATTTGAACGAGACTGCCACAACTTTCACCTTGGGCACTGTGAAGGTCGTCCAGCGTCCGCCATCTGAATGCTTCTTATCAGACCCCTTATGTGAAGATGGGATCTGCCAGCCTACGTCGACTGGAGCATGCCCCGAGCTCTCGGGAACCATCGCCGAAAATTCGGGGACAACCAACGCCTCGGTGCCTCTGTCGTACACCCATGACCTTCAATCTGCTCAGCTTGCTTCAGCTTCTGATACCAGCGACCCGAGTGAACCGGCGCCGAAGAGCAAACCTATGCCGACGGATGGCGCCAGCACGACGGGTGGGGTTTCGCTTGCTTCCAACGCTCTCCTTCTCGTTGCGGTGACCATCGCACTCTTGCTCTCTTGTTAGCTTTTGCTTGGCAATGCTTAAGCACCTACAGGCAACATGAACAGTTACTCTCACTGCCATCAAAGGGCACGCGCAAATGGTCCGCCATGCAAGTACAGCAACAGGAAGAGGGGAACTGTTTCATTTACTGTGGACTTTCACATTCTCTCTCTCTCTCTCTCTCTCTCTCTCTCTCTCTCTCTCTCTCTCTCTCTCTCTCTCTCTCTCTCNTCTCTCTCTCTCTCTCTCTCTCTCTCTCTCTCTCTCTCTCTCTCTCTCTCTCTCTCTCTCTCTCTCTCTCTCGCACGCGCGCGCGCGCGCGTGCGTGTGCGCACGCGCGCTGACAGTGTGTCTGTGATGGGGGCTGTGTTCTTGGTGGCCCATTAGCTGCCGCGGACTGTGGGACCTGTTCTGGTCTTTCAGGTCTTCATCATTCATTGACCGTGGACCTTTGTCGTCTCTTGTGCTGCTGTATTCCCTGACCGATCCTTCAACGGGCCTTGGTGCGCCAAGGCTGCTACTCTTATTTTTTTGTGGGCTCATTAGCCTCGTTCATTCAATTGGTCTTTAACTGCTCCTTGTCCATTCCTCCTCCATTCGTACATCCCTGGTCATCCCTTTAGCCTCTTAAAATTGGACCGGGGTTTGATGTGCGGTCCGTTGAGTCCGCGCTGACATTGCTCAGCACTTGGGTTACCGTAGATCTGACCAAGTATTAATTTAATTAATACGCACATAGCCTTTTCGGGGTCCCGGAGCTGTTTCACAGGTGATTCTCCCCACAGCGGTTCACATTGGGTTGTCAATAGTTGGCTCACATGGGGTCCACATTGGTTCCACAGTGGGTTCATAGTACTAGGTCCAAAGCTGGTCCTAGTTGGTTCTGGTTGGTCCTAGTTGGTCCTAGTTGGTCCTAGTAGGTACTAGGTCCATTGGGTTGTCCACAGTTGGTCCTAGTTGGTCCACACTTTGTCAAGTGATTGCCCCTGAGCTTGCGGTCGAACAGAGGTCTAAATTAAATTCGTTGACGGACGAGTCCATGGTCAGGACTTGGGCACAAGGGACCCCATGATCAATACACAACAGTCTGGCCAGCTACGTCAGAGACGGCTCAGCGCTTGCCGATTCTTAACGGTTGGTCGCAGTTGGTCCACAGTTATTCCGCAGTAACTGTTGGCCCGGAGTTGGTCCACAGTTGGCCCGGCGTTGGTTCACAGCAATTTGGGCAAGCGGTTAATATCCCGAAGACTAATTGGAGGACCTATTTACAATCGGGGTCAACAAGCTGGGCCCATGATATATCATGGGGCCCTGGCTGGTCCTTAGGTGGCCATGACTGGTGGTCCGTTGGTCGATGATCGCGGTGGAACCAACCTTAACCACCACGATCGGTTGGGCCAGAGGCTTGGGGTCAGGTGGCCGGTGCACTGTTACAGTAGTAGTCCTTCAGCTGCTGTGAAGGATGACATTGTTGTTATGTGCGAAATCGGTCCTTCGTGGTGCGAAATAGGTCCTTCGTGTTTTGGATTTTTGTGAAGTTGTACTCAGAACCTCAACCTCGGGCTGACCCAGAGGCTGCTGGTAGCTCTCACGTGAACGGTACACTGTGGTCCTTCAGCTGCAGCTGCGAAGGATGGCGTTGTTGTTATGAATGTGCGAAATTGGTTCTTCGTGGTGAAACCTCAACCACGGGGTGACCCAGAGGCCAGCTCTCAGGTGAACAGTACACTTTAGTCCTTCAGTTGCTGCGAAGGATGTTGGGACACGCGGAATTGGTCCTTTATGGTGGAACCTCAACCGTGGGATGACCCAGAGGCCAGCTCTCAGGTGAATGGTACGCGGTTGCCGTAGTCCTTCAGCTGCTGCGAAGGACGCTGTAACAGTTCTGTGCGAAATTGGTCCAGGACCTTCGTTGTGGAAGCTCAACCACGGGGTGACCCAGAGGCTAGCGCTCTGGTGATTCGTGGTGAATGGTACACCCTAGTCCTTCAGCTGCTGCGAAGGATGTAGGTATAATGCCCGAAATTGGTATTTGCAGAACAGCTTTCGTCCATTGCTTGGGATGAAGCCTGGGGTGCAGATTGACCTATAAAGATTTTAGCTCTCAGGCAGTGGTACTACTTTTGACTACTGATCGTAAACAGAAGTTCACTTGAAAAGCTCAGAACCCCAGCCAAGAATCTCTTCCCCCCCACCCCCGAAAGAATCTTAAACCGATACTAGTTTAAAGATTCAAACCAGAGAAGAGTTAATTAGAACAAGCTACAAGCTCCACGACGTTCAATTTGGTGTACTAGCCCAGAAATGGCACCAGCAGCAGGAAGCGGAGGGGTATGCTGCGAAGTCTTTTATGGAGTTAAAAATGCTGAGGAGCCAATGGCCCCAGAATTAAAAACTTCAAGGGTTTGGTTACCGGAGCTAGGGATTTAAGAATCCTTAGGAGGAGTTTATGAGCAAACGTTAAGTTAGAAAAAAATCCTATCTGGACTTGTCCTTCGGGACATACATTAAAATAAGTTGGAACGATACAAAGAGAGAGAGAGAGAGAGAGAGAGAGAGAGAGAAGATTAGCATGGCCCCTGCGCGATCAATTATGACATGCGTGAATTGACGTGTCCTTCGGGACATCCATTAAAATGGAGTTGGAACGATACAGAGAGAGAGAGAAGAGAGAAGATTAGCATGGCCCCTGCACAATCAAGGATGACATGCGTTAATCGAGAAACGGTCCAGCCTGTTCCAAATTAAAAAAGAAATCCTAAGGACTTGGGAGACAGAAAAAACTTGCGAAGTTTGTCGATGGAGTTCGAAAACTTCTGAAAAATTACGAGTCATCGGCCTCGGACTGACTTTAAATGCTGAGGTCGTGGACTCATGGAGCTGGCAGACTCGGAGGGGTTGCCACAACTTGCCGGGCAGAGTTAACAGAACTTAGGAGGCCGAGCGCCGGACTAGATAAAATGAATCGGCGGTGGGCGGCCTCTGGAAGCGGCCCCCAGCTGATATCAGGCATGTAACGGTGCTTTCAGCCATTCACAGAACTCCCAAGGAGTTGGGCCAATGATAGACCAGGTCACGAGACGAGTTCGAACCATGGCGGAGTCGTCGCCGGGTCCTGATTTAACAACCACCAGGTCACGAGTTCAAATCCTGGCAGAGGCAGTTGCCCGCTGGAGCTGACCACTTTTAAAAGGAGCTGGGCAGGCGGAACGGAAAAACCTTTGAGGAGCTGGGGGGACGGAACGGAAAACCTTCTTTGAGGAGCTAGCGGACGGAGGCAACGATCGTGAGCTCAGGGGGTTTTGCAGACAAAGGCAAAAAGATGTTAACTTAGCGGAAGGAGTTAAAAATAACCTTAAGTTAGCGGAAGGAGCCCAGCGCATGTCAGTGGGGAGACAGTGGTACATACATGTAAGATCTGTTAACGACCAGGTCATGAGTTCGAGTCCTGCTTTAGTGAGGGCGGTTACAAATAAGGTCAGGAGGGGCTACCCCCTTGAAGAAAAGCGAAAAGGAAAACAGAAATGCGGAGCACTTGGCAGTGGGAGTCAAAAAAAAATGTTGGAGGTTGGATGGCGTAAGGGAAGGAGATTTTAATGTTGCTCTCCATCTCACATGATAGTTGAACTGGGTAATGTGAGGGAACTTGGTGTACAGTTGGTTTGTGAACTTTGTTCCATTTCTGTTGTATGGAGCTCCAAATTTGCACCAAGTTCATCTGTGGTGTACCCAGCTCCAAAGTTGCGGTGCATACAGATGTGAAGTCGAAAAGCCCATCAGATTCTATTGGGTGTGAGGTCGCAGTCCCCCTGCAAGAATGATTGGTCTGGTTTTCCGACTGTTTTGGAATTTCCCTCTGTGCTGAATGTGAAAAGGTGTTATGTTATGTTTCACTCCCATTTTCCCGCGATAATGATCCTGTACCACTATCTTTCTGGCCCGTTACAGGGTGCGTTGTGTCCAGGGGAAGACCGTACCCGGGGGGTGGGTTGGGGGGGGGGGGATGAAGTCAATTAGGCTGAGGTCACTCTTTTCATTTTTTTTTATTTTTTTTTTTCCGTTGTGCTTGTGGTTACATGCAGCAGCTTTCAAGATCCAAATGCCATGCTGCAGATCACTGCCATGCTCAGTTGAAAAAAAAATTAAGTTCCGGGTACTACCTTCTGTGTGTGGCTGGGTTTGTAGGGGTACTAGTATGTGTTGTGTCACCTACCTTCTTCCCCCGAATACAATGCATGGTCATTATAATAGCTGTATTTGAGCCATCTTTCAGTCCGGATACAGCTATAATGACCATACGTTGGATTCTGGAGAAGAAGGTAGTAGGCATTGTAACACAGTTACCGTAGTGTGTGACACAATTCAGAAGTATTATTATGAGAAGTATGGGAATAATGGGATATTATATTTAAAGTTTGTGTCAAATTCAACAAATTGTGCGACACTGTTTCTTTTCTCATCCGATCTGGTGTACGCTCTGTATATCTTAGCTAAACAGGGTTAGAAACATCCGCCGGCTCGTCTCTACATTCTATGAGTTTTTGTTTTGATCGCAATCTGAAATCAATGATTATCGGATCCCGATTAAATTATGGTGGTTGGTTTTGAGGGTCAGGGCTTTGAATCCCATCCCCTCAAGTGTGTGTGTGGAAGTACGATACAAGGCTTCGGAGAAACTTGTCATTTTTTAGCCCATTGAAACGACTCAGGAGTTGGGAGTTTTGTTTTAAAAAAAAGAAGACATATTCACTTTTAATTGACAACAACATGATGGGCGCCGGGGAGCCCACCATTTCACCTGGAGCTATGCTGAAGATCCCCAGCTGTTTTTTTCGTTTATTTGGAGTCCTTTGGGTCCCTTGAGATGATTCAGATGAATAGAATCATACAACTAGTCAAATGGAATGCTGTACCACCTGAGCCAGAACATGGGCATATGCACATGCATTCATCATAGGTGCAATTTGAAAGTGACAACGCACTTATAAGCAAGAAAGAAAGAGAGAAGACAAGGAAAGAAGATGGAAAAGAAGAAGAAGAAGAAGAAGA